GCTGCTCCGGGAGCCGCCGCCCGCAGGGGCCGGGGCGCTGGGCGGGGCTGCTGCGCTTGGGTGGGCGCCAGGATGGGGGAGCCGCGGGTGCCGCTGGTCCCCGACGCCCCCGACGCCCCCGACGCCCTCGCTGTGGACCCCGGCCCCTGCCCGGGCCCCGCCTCGCCGCGCGGGGGCACCGCTGTCATCCTGGACGTGAGTACGCGCGGGCCGGGACCCCGAGCCCCATCCTTCCACGGGGAGACCCCCAACGCCGCCCTCCTTCGTCGCCGCCGGGACCCGCGGGCCCCCCTCTTCCTTAAACAGGGAACCCCCTGCCCATCCCCCGCGGCAGCGCAAGAGCAGGAACAGAGCAGGGAACCGGGCCCTTCTGCGTCCCAGAGCGCGAGCCCCCCAGCCCCCTCCACATTCCCATCGGTCTCCATCCCGGGTCCAGGCTCGTCCCCTCCACCCTGGGAACGCACCCCCCTCCCTCAGCTTCTAGGGATTCCCACCCTTCTCGGAGCCCGGGATCCTGGAGCCCCCCTCGACCTGACCACCATCCCCCTACTTTGTCTTGGCCCAATCCCCATCTTTTCCCAGCCCCGCACATCATCCTTCACCCCCTTCCTTCCCAGGACGGGAGCCCCTGACCGCCCCAACCCCCTCCTGCTCTCCAGCCTGGTCCCTGCCTGGGCGGCTACTTTCCTGAGACCACCGGTCTCTTCCTCGCCCCTTCCCTGAGCCCCTTTCACCCTGCCACCCGCTCTTTGCAAGCAAAGCCCACTCCCCACCTCTGTCTTCGCTTCTCCTTTCCAGAGTGTTGGAACCACCCCCAGGAGCCCTGTCCAGACCTTTCTGAGCTCCATCACCACCCCCATGCCGCTCTGAGTCCCCTCTGTCCATTCCTCCCCCATACCCCTCCCCCATCCTCTCTGGAACCCAAACTGCCTTCCTCCGGGAAGCCTGCCCCCACCTCCCACTCCCCAAATGGGAGGGAGATTCTGTAGGGTGGGTGGCAGGGGATGGGGAGGTGGGGTGCCAGGCGGAGGTGGAGGGGCTCCCCGTACCCCAGAGATAGACAGCACCGCAGTGGGGAGTGCATGTCCCAGCCAGGACCCCTGGCAGGGTGGGGGAGGGGGGGGGTTTCTGGGAGGGTGTGTGTGTGTGTGTGTGTGTGTGTGTGTTTGTGCACGTGAGCACGAGTGGATTTTCTCTCTCCTTTCCTGGAACCCACAGCTGACTCTGGGCAGAGAGTGCTGGGCGGGGAGGGTGGAGCTTTGCTGGGAGTACTTGGGGTCCTGGTGCTGGTGCCCCCAAACACACTCACACATGCACAGCCCGACACACCCCGGACCCTCTCTCGAGACCCCAGCAGAGTTGGCAGCTGAAAGCCCTGGGCCTGCCCTGCAGGGAAGCCGGGGGTTGGGGGGGCAGACCCCTCCCATTCTCTCCTCTAACAGTCCAGGGGGCGGGCTTCAGGCTCCTGGAGTGCTGCCTGCGGGCTCTGAGCCTCTGTGTCCTCATCTCTGAAATGGGGTGATGAGCAGATGGGGGCTCTGTGCTCTGCAGACTCTGGAGCCACAGCAGGAGGTCATGTGGTTCAGTAACACCCAGGCCCTCCGCAGGCACCTGAGGATGGAACCCAGCCTCGGAGCAGGAGTGTGGGCCCTGGGCTGAGGCTTTGAGGGGTGCCAGAGAGTGCTCCCCTTCCTGCCCAGGACCCTGGCATCGGGGTTCAGCTAAGGAAGGGGCTGACCTCCTGAGCCGCTGCGTCAGTGTGTCACAGCCTCGCCTCGGGTGGATAATGGATGCCGCCCCATGGCTTGCAGGGGCCTCTGTCCTTTATCCCAGGGAAGCACCAGAGGTGGGTGGCCGAGGTGCTGGTCCACCTCCCCCTCCTTCCATCAGCAGGGCTACCTGCCCCCGAAATGCCAGGAGGAGGAGTTATCTGGTCTCCAAGCTCAGGCTGGGGGTGGGGGTGGGGTGGGGGTGTGGGCTGGCCCCTCCTCTTTCCTACCTGAGGCGGCAGCTGGTTGCCTGAGCTCCTGTCAACCTGCTTCTACTCGCTCCCCGCCCAAAAGGCCCCTCCTGCCTGTGGCTGGTCCAGTGGCCAAGCCTGGAGGTTCCTTTAGCAGAGGCCTCTGTTCAGACTTAACCCCCAACCTCCCTGGAGTGCCGTGAGTGTGCAAGGCCTGTGGCCGTGTCCTCGGGACACAAATTCGGGGTGTGCAACTCAGGGTGCGACAGTGGGTGGAGCCCCATGGACCGGTGGCGCTGGGAGTGCACCCCCAAGCATGTGGACAGTGTGAGCCAGAGTGTCCACACGCGTGTGCATGTGTCTGTCAGCGTGGCTGTGGGCAGGCTGGCGGCACAGAGGGAGCGTGGGCGGCTGCTTCCGCTAGGGTGGCTGGGAGGGCCTCTGCCTGTAACATCCCTCCCTCTCCCACCCTGGATCCCAGCCGGCGGGTCTCCTCCCTGGGGAGGGAGAAAGTGGGGGCTCGGTTTCCCAGGGCACCTGGGGGGGGAGGGGACATCTGTTCCAGCTCAGGAGCTCTCTGCCCAGGGCTGACTCAACCCATCTCTCTTCCCTGCAGATTTTCCGCCGCGCGGACAAAAATGGTGAGTTTCCCTCCCTTGCTGCCCCTGAATGAGGACCTGGCTCTTTCCGTCCTGACGCCTCAAGGGAAAGGACCAGGGTGGGGAGTGGGCCACCTTGAACCTAAAGGTTAAGGGTACAGGTCTCTGAAATCCGAAGGCCAAGTCCTGGTCCCGCTCTGTGCCTCAGTTTCCCCTCTGTACAACAGGACTCCCTAGTTCCTACACAGCGGGGATGCCATGAGGATTCTGTGAAGGGATGTCTGATGCCAGGGTGTCCTGCCCATGGTAAATGCTTGGTGTGCTTTAACCCTTACGCAGCTGGGCTGGACCACGCTGTAAGGAAGCCCCCAGCCTCACTCTAGGCCAGCAGTTCTCAACCTTTGGCAGTCGAACGACCCTTTCACAGGGGTTGCCTAAGACCATCCATCCTGCATATCAGATATTTACATTACAATTCATAACAGTAGCAACATTACAGTTATGGAGTAGCAACGAAAATAATTTTATGGTTGGGTCACAACATGAGGAACTGTATTTAAAGGGCCAGAAGGTTGAGAACCACTGCTCTAGGCCCTTCACAGGCCCTGGCACACTTCCTCCTCACGGCTGCCTGGTGCAGTGGGTGCTGCATCCCGTGTTCTATCAGCGCTGTCGTGGCTCAGAGAGGGTAAGTGACTTGCCCAGGGTAGCCCAGCTTCGTGTAGGTCGTCGCTCTGCTGCAGACTCCAGCCCTTTTCCCCACATCACACAGCCTCTCCGACAACGTGAGCAGCACATTGCTTTGCCACAGAACGCCTGATGCTCCCCTCCTGATCGCTTGGTAGGCTCCCACCTGTGTGAGGATAACCACGTTCCCCAAGGCCCGAACCTCGCAGGTGTGGCAAAGAGCGGTCCAACTTCCTATAAATACTGCAGTCATTCTCTGGCCCACAGTGACTCTACATGGCTTTACCAAGGCACAGTCCCTCTCCAGGCCTCAGTTTCCCCGTCTGTAATGTGGGGTGATAACACTTAACCTGTCTACTTGCCTAGGCTATTGGGAAAATACAGGGAGGTGGGGGGATAGGTGTTTTAGGGAAAATTAGGCAGTGCTCAGTGTTTGCTCATTTATTGAAACAAGCTGATTGAGGGTCATGGTCTCTTCTGGGGGAAGTGGGAACAGATGTGCCCGCCCCTCAGGGCCCTGAGCATCAGTCCCAGCCCCTCTCCGTCGCAGGCTGGAGTTCAAGGCCGCATCTCTAGCCTGGGTCCCAGCACCCCCTTTCTCCCTGCCCCTGTGAGTTGACCTGCCCCCCCATGGTGTTGGGGATGGAACATGAGGCCTTGCCGGGGGGGGGGGGGAGGCAGGGGGAGAGGAGGTGTGCAGGCCTGGCTGGAAGTCAGTGCCTGGGGTCTCCACCCCTTGACCCCCATCCCTGGGAGTGATGGCCCCTCCTGGGCCTTTTGGATGAAAGGACCATCAGAGTAATTGCATCTGGAGCAAGGAGCAAGGAAAGGGATGGGGGGCTTCGGTGGGGCTCAGGAAATGGCAGTGGCATCGTGGCCTGAACAGTGTCAGAGATTAGAGGAGGGGGTTAGAGGCTTGTCCCTGTCGTGGGCCTGGTGCCCAGCACACAGTAGGTGCTTGGTAAGTGCCTGTGGATTTAGGTGATGGGCCTGTTCATGGATGCGAGTGTGGCTGTGCAGCCCTGGGGTGCAGCAGTGGGTCTGGCTGTGGTCTCCCAGTGGCTGTGGGGTTGTCCGTGCATCCGTGCGTGCGTGGTGGGTGGCACCCTGGTCTCCAGGCACAGTTGGGCTTTCCTCGCCATTACTTGTTCCCAGTCAGAGGCCACGGTTCCGCCCCTGAGCACAGCTGTGGGCTCTCAACTTCTCTCCTGCGGGCCCCGTACAGGCCCAGCCTGCTGCTCCCCTTGGGGCCTCGCGTCTTCCCAGCTACTGCAGAGTGGCTGTGGGGGTGTCACCAGGGTTAGGGTGTGTGGGATGCGGAGCCTGTGGGACGGGGGCGGGGCCCCTCCTCTGTCACAGAGACTGCCTGGGTGCAAGCCCTGGCTCAGTCACTTCCCAGCTTTGTAATTTCAGGCCAGTCCCCAAACTCTCTGGCCTCAGTTTCCCCATCTGTAGTGGGGGTGATGAAACTAGCCCGCAGCGCAGAGGGCTGCACCTGAGGAAGCAGCGAGCCCTGAACAGCTGAGGAGCGTCGAGCGCCTTGGAAATGGCCTTGGCTTGTTCACAGGTGTTGGGTTCCCTCCTGTGCTGCACAGGTGCCCGCTGCGGGGCAGGCTGCTGATGCCATTGAGCCTCCGGGCACCGAGACTTTCATGGGCCTTCTCCTTTGGTCTTCACTCTGCTCCTACTGGCATAGGAAGCACCGTACCCCTTACCGCAGCTGGCAGTAGCAAGGCTTGGCGAGGGCAGGTGACAGCCTGCAGGTCCTCAGTTGAGGCGGGGGGAAGGGGGGCGGCAGATGGGTTCAGACTCAGTTTGAAAACGTGTGGGCAGGGGATGGGCGTGGTGTGCACGTAGGGTGAGTGTGGGTGTAGACCAGAGACACACAAAGGCTCGTGCGCACACTTGTTGATCACAGGCGCACGCGGGCCCTCCCCTGGCACCCAGCGGAATAAGATGCCGGGGGCGGAAGATGGAGTGTGGGCTCAGGCTGAGGCTGGGAGGGATGGGCCCTCGGGATTACAGGAGCACGGGCTCCGTCTGGCCCGTCCGTGGCTCTGAGGACAGAGAGCTTCACAGAGATGGAGACGGGCAGGGCTCCGAGGGGGGGCCTGGGGGCAGGTGCCGGCATGTCTCTGCAGGGATGCAGACTCCTGGCATTTGAAAGGTCACTGAGAGGCTGAGCTCGTGCTAATTGGGAGAGACACCTGCAAATGCCCGCTGGGCGGGGGTGCCCGGCCGCTGGTCTAATGGGCGGGGGCCTGGTGGGAGGGTGCTTCCCTCATTGGCTGGTCTGGTTCCTTAGGGCGGTGGTGAGGCCTTCGAGATAAATGTCAGCTGGGAGCCTTTGTGCTCAGGAGGCCTGGGCCCCCTCCCCCGCCAGCCGCTCTCCCAAGTGCAGACAACAGGGCACCTGACAGGCAGGAGCGGGTGAGGCAGGGAGACCCCCGGCTGTGCCCACGCAGACGCAACGAAGCAATCCCAGCTCCCTTCCACGGAGTCCGGACTCAGCCTCAGCGTGTCCAGGCCGCCCTGTGGCTGGAGCTCTTGCTACAAGACCCTGCCCCACGCTGGGTGAGAGCTTGGCCTCAGGAGCCAGATGGCCTGGGTTCGAGCCCCAGCTGTGGGGTCTGGGCAAGCCCCTTAACAGCTCTGTGCCTCGGTTTACAGGTCTGTGAAATGGGGGTGACGGTGCTACCGTGCCATGGGGTGTGGTGAGGACTGAATGAGTGACTACGCAGTAAGAGCCCATGTGTCTGCCCTGATTCTGCGCTGTGGTTCCTGGCTTGATCACCAATCTTGCCAGATGGGATGGGAACGTCTCCTCTTGCCCAGATGACAAAGACCCACAGCTTAGAGTTTATTTCACAGCTGGTATCATGCGTGGCTGGGTTCTGGGCCTTCTGAGCGGGAGTATCGGGGGGACTCATGTTTTGAAAGTTACAAACTCATCCTCCCTCTTTGACACTGAACCCTGAGCCAGGATGGCGGAGGCATCCGGGACCCCGCCCTCACCCCCAGGCACCGAGCGCTCACAGCTCACAGTTAGTCCTTACTCTCTCCTGAGCTTGATGACGGGAGGGAAGTGAGGACACGTGTGAGGGTCTCCCTCTCCCCAGCTTGTCCTTTAGCCCTACGTTGAGCCCACACAGAGCTGCTGGGAGCAGAGACGGGCGCTCTGGTGCCTTTAAAATGTAAGAACTTCGCTCTGGGCTCATGTAGGCAAGCTGTGCCCTGCAGGAGGGCCACTGCCTAAGGAATCGGGAGCCTCAGACCCAGCCTGCGTCCGTCACAACCCTGTGCCCTGCCGCTGGACAAGGCCCTCACCCCAACCAGGAAAGCGCATCTCTTCCTAGGCCACCCAGAGGTGCCAGGTGGGCTCGCTGGGCTTTGATGGCAGCCTGGCTGGACGCCATGGGAGGGGGTCTGCACGGGGGCTGGGAAGTGCCGTGGGCCTGCTGTTCTCCCTGACCTCCACTGCCGCCCACAGGCATGGCTCCTTTAAGAAGAGCAGGCTCATTGAGGGGATGCTGGCTGCAGGGGTGGAGAGCAGCTTTTGGGAGTTCTCTCAGCAGGTGTGCGGGGTGGAAGGAGCTGAGGGGAAGCTGAGGGCTGTTTCTCCTGGAGTCACAGGTCTGCTGTGAGCCCCTCCCTCAGAGGCCCCTCTGCCCCCAACTCAGAGAGCTTCTCTGCCAGATGCTGTGCGGCGGAGGGGAGGGGGCGGCTGCAGGTGAGAGCAGAGGTGAGAGGGAGGGAGGGAGGTGGGCGGCAGGTGGCATGCCTCAGCTGTGGTGCCCCTTACAGAGCCCCACGCCCTCCACATCCCAGAGCCACAGGTCCCGGCCCCAGGGCGGGCGGCCAGCGCTGGGCCCAGGCCAGGCACCTCCTTTCCTCGTGGTTTGGCATCTTTAAGGCGGCATCTGTGGCACCGAGAGAACTGCGTGCCAACTGCTGGCAACCGTCACACATCCGCCCTTTCAAAGGTTTGGGCTGAAGCTTGCCGAGTGGATGGGGCACAGGGCGAGGGGTCTTTCTTCTCCCCAATCAGGATGTGGGTGCTGGCGCTGGAGGTAATTTAAATGTGGGGAGATCATCTGGGTACCTGGATGGGAGGGAGAGAGGCCATCAGACTGCCCGCCCTCGGGCCCCCCTCTTATAGGTGTGGCAGGTGTGGAGCGACTGTAAACAGTGCCGGCCCAGGTGGTCAGGCGATTGCCTGGAGGGGCAGGTGCTGGCTGTTGGTTGAATTCCTGCAGCCTGAGTCCCCGCAGACGAGCTGCTGCTTGTGTGTGGGGGTTGAGGATTCTCTCCAATAGGTGTGGGTCTCTGGTTCCAGAATTGGCTGCGTGAGTCAGTCAGTCGTTCCTCGTGAACTGGCGTGCGCTGGCCGATTGGGATTCGCCGACGGGACTGCTCTGTTGGTTTGGGAATTGTCTGGATTTGGGGACGTCCTGTCGCTCAGACGCCAGCTGCTCTCCTTCCCCCTTTGCAGACGATGGGAAGCTGTCCCTGGAGGAGTTCCAGCTCTTCTTTGCAGACGGCGTCCTCAACGAGACGGAGCTGGAGGGTCTCTTCCACACCATCGACTCGGACAACACCAAGTGAGTGGGCCCCGGGGTCCCCGCGCTGGAGCCGGCGCTGTGGGCTGGGAGGAGGCCCTTCCTCTGCCCGGGGCCAGCCTCCACTGCCCACCCCTGCAGTCCCCAAACTCCTTCGTCCGGAAGTCAGTGGCCCCCTTGGCAGGCTGGTCTTTTCTGGCACATGTGGCTAAGCGGAGAGAGACCCTAGATTTTGCAGAAATCACACTGGATGGTGAAGGGAAGTTGGCGGCTCCGTCACCTTCGGCTAATTCAGCCCAGTTCTGCCCGGACCTGGTGCTTCTTTCCCGACCCAACACCAACGCTGCCATCTTGTTCTCACCGGCTCCCATCCGAAACCAAACTCTAACCAGAGGCTCATCCTAACTCTATTTCTTTATTTTATTTTATTTTTAATATATTTTTATTGATTTCAGAGAGGAAGGGAGAGGGAGAGAGATAGAAACATGATGAGAGAGAGCATCATCGATCAGCTGCCTCCTGCACGCCCCCTACAGGGGATCAAGCCCGCAACCCGGGCATGTGCCCTTGGCCAGAATTGAACCTGGGACCCTTCAGTCTGCAGGCCGATGCTCTATCCACTGAGCCAAACTGGCTGGGGCCTCACTTTATTTCTTTTAATTATAGTTTACTTTCAGTATTAGTTTGCATAGGTTTCAGGTGTACAGCGTAGTGGTTAGGAAATCATATACTTTACAAAGTGTTCACCCCAACATTCCCAGTACCCAGCTGGCACCATGCATTGTTATTGCAGTATTATTGATTACATTCCCTGAGCTGCATCGCCCCATAACTCTACTTCTTAACCTGAATCCCACTTCTGACTCATCTAATTAAACCTTTCATCAACTCAGTCATAACCCTAACCCACATCTCAGAAATCATCTGAACCTCCTGGCCCACCCATCCCTGAGTCAAGAGCAAATGCTGCTTACCCTGCCCCTGCCCCAACCTTAATCCCACCTTCTCCTTTTCCTTGGGTTCCCGTTCAGCCCACACCTGGTCACCTTCCTCAGGCCTACTTCCGGGATGAGGACCAGAGTTCCGGGGGGTGGTGCTTGGGGCAGATTCGATGGGGTCCCCTGAGACAGGCCAGAGATGTTGAAACAAGGAGCTGCCCCCAGGCTCATCTGCAGGGGACCCGGCGCCGTGGGGGCCTGGACCAGGGATTGGGGCTGAGCGTGCTGAAGGCAGAGGCCGGCACCGGGGCAGGTGGAGCCGGTGTCGTGTCCAGGGAAGGCGCCTGGAGGAAACAGCTCCTAGCACAGACTCCAGAGAAGGGCGTTGTGTCTGGATCAGGCAGGGGTGTCTGAGGGGTCCCTCCCGGCCCGGGAACTTGGCAGGGCTGAGACCCATTGATGATGCATTCTCATTGGGTGCTTCTGTGTTGGGCCAGCCGGGTGGGGAGGAAGAGGTGAAGGGTTTGTGCATTTAACCATGAGAGCACGTGAGTGGGGAGCAAGCGGGGAGGTCTCACCTTCGGCATTTTCTCCAGGGCTCCCCAGAGGCGGCTGTGGGCATTCCCTCCTGGGGGTGCTGGGTAGGCTTCTGTCCAGAACAGTTCCCACGGGTCAGAAGCTCGGGGAAATGCTAGTTTAAGCACAAGTAAACTGGCTTCCTTTCTGCGAGACCTGCCAGCACTTTTACTAGGACAGCGAATCGGGACCTCCAGGGCAGCTCACAGCCTCTGACGCCGGATCTAGTGGTTTGGGCCTGGGCCGTGCCTGAGCCCCATCCCGGTCCCCTCAGCAGGCAGGAGTGCTCAGGCGCCTTTCCCGGAGGCGTGTGGATGAGCCTGGGTTGGGAGGATTCAGGTTCTAGGCCAGCCCCTCCTTGCAGTGAGGAACTGGGGCCCAGAGAGTGAAGGTTTCGAACCTGCACAGACACTCGGGTCCCTGGGCGCCCACCGGGCACTCCTGCGTCGCATCTGTGTTCCCAGGCTGCTTCGCTGCCCGCACCCGCACCTGCGGGGCTGGCCCTTGTGCTCAGCCTCCTCCAGGAAGGGCAGGACCCTTCCCCATCCAGGCTGTAGGAATGGGGTGCAGACCCTGGGGCTTTGGGTTAGGGTGAGGACCGGACGCTGGCCCAGGCCCAGGCAGGCAGGCAGGAGTGCCCAGGACAGCATGTCTCAGGAAAGCTGGTCTCGGCCTGTAATGTCATCTCCTCCCTTTCACCTCCTCCCTTTTCCTGAGCCCCATCCTGGTCCCGTCTGCTCATGATGTGATCAGCAGACTTTGGGGGAGGAAGCAGGGTGGGTGGTGTGGTGAAGGGGTCAGATAGACTGAGGTGCCGACGGAGCCCTCTTGGTCCTTCGGGGGGGTTGGTGCCATTTACCTGCTGCACCCTCACCTGTGAAGTGGGGCTCGCGATGCCAGGGCATGGAATGAAGAGAGAAGGCACCGGGCGTTTTACCAGCTGTGTGGGCCGGGCAGGCTGTGGAGGGAGGGCAGGAGGATGGGACCTGACAGGCCTGCTTCTGAGTCCCCCTTCCCCTGTGCTCTCTCTGCAGCCACGTGGACACCAAGGAGCTGTGTGGTAGGTGCCGGTTAGGCAATGCAGGGACCAAGAGGTGTGGAGGGCGGGGACCTGGGGAGCGGGAACAGGGGGCACGGGGGATTGGTGAAAGGGGCAGAATCCTCCTGTGACCCCTGACCTTTGCTCTCTCCTACCCTAGATTACTTTGTGGACCACATGGGGGACTATGAGGACGTCTTGGCCTCCCTGGAGACCTTGAACCATTCTGTCCTGAAGGCCATGGGCTACACCAAGAAGGTCAGCAGGTGTGGGTGGCCCTGGAGTTCCAAGCTCTGGTTTCCGATGTTCCCTGGGGCATCTGCACCCACGGGTGCCTGGGTTTGTGAGGACAAGTGTTGGGTGGGCCTGGCCCTGGGCGGGCTTTGCTTGGCTCTCCTAGCGGGAGCGGAGGTGAACTGTGAAGTGAGTAGAGCGGCTCCGTGAATGGCCCTGACCACCCGGTGTCTCATATGTGGTTTGGAGGGTGAGACCCTTTCCCAGCATCGGGCGTGGCCCTCGGATGGGGTCCTGGGGAGGGAGCAGCAGGCAGCCCAGCCCTCGCCCGTGGACGAGCATCATGGCTGCCGGGCCTGTGCCTTCTGCAGCAGGGTCACGAGAGGGGAAGGGGAAGGGCGGGTTCACGTGTGACCGAGGAATCGGGTGGTGTCTGGTGGGAGAACACGTGCCCAGGCCTGAAGCCGTGAGCCGGGCAGAGGGGCCACTATGAGTGCAGACCCCGCTGTGTCTCCGATGTGGCTCCAAAGTCTCTGCCTTTCGTCCTGCCTCCTCGTCTGCGTGTATGACCTGGAGGAGGATGGGGGAAGGGAGGTAAGGCCAGGTCACTGCGCCTTCTCCACGTAACTCAGAGCCCACCCCGCCTCCCCCACCCCCCAACTTCATTTCCTGCCCGAGTCTGTACCTCCGCTGGCTGGCGGCTTGCAGAGGGGACGGGTAGGCGTGTTCTTTCTGCCTCCACGGAGAAGAGGCGCAGAAACTTCCTAAGGACCCACGATGGCCAGGATTAAACACTCAGTTTAACCCTCACAGCAACCCCATGGGTGGCTGCTCTCACTTCCCCCATTTCATAGCTACGGAAACAGAGGCTCAGAAAGGTGAACCCTGCGGGGTGGTGGCCAGACAGCCAGACCTGCTGGCTGAAATGAGAGGGGAAACAGTCAGGGACCTGTCAGGAGGTACAGAGCACAGCCTGGGACTTCAGGCTGCCAGGGGGACTGGAGTGTCAGTCAGCCAGGAGCAGGGGCGGCCGCTTGGGTACACTGACCAAGGCACGCAGGGAGGGAGCGTGGAGCAGGCCAGGCCCTGAGGGACACAGACACCCAAGGGCTTGCAGCGACCCATGGGACCTCAGAAAAGCCCCGTCCCATCTGCTGGGTGGGGACAGGGAGCTAGGCTGATAAAGTCAGCCAGGCCTGCCTGAAGGACCCGGAGCCGGTCACTTTCCTTTCTGAGCCTCAGTTTCTCCATCTGTGGAATGGGAGCATTCGCTTTGTAGGATCTTTATGAGGACTGCATGAAGTAAGGTCTCCAATTGCTTAGCATAGGGCCTGGCACAGAGCAAAGGTGACTAGTTTTTATTTCTAGGCTCCTGTTGTATGGCCCAGGCACAGGTAGGACCATTCAGTACATTTTTCAAATGCTGCTCAGTGACTGCTCTGCAGAGGATTAGAGAATCCCTTTCTTCCCGGAGCCCGAAATAGCCAAGCCTCACCCTGAGCCTCCACCACCCACATCCCAGAGTCATGCTGTTTTGAGTCTTGGTGTTTTAAAGTGTCTTTTAATAACATGTAGAACCAACTCCTTTTCATTGTTTGTCTTGTAGACTGTGTGATATTTGCAAGTATCCAGGCGGGCGGTGGGTTACAGGGAGCATGGAAAGAGCCCAAACCCCAGAATCCGAGTCACCCAGACAAGGGCGTCGGCCCAGCCCTGCTCCCAACAGGCTGTGCGAGGTGCACCTCCACCCACACGGGACTCCTGGCTGCAGCCACCTCCTCGGGCCCCGGCTTTCTCCTGTGTGAGGGGCCAGTTCTCAGCACCGTTGCCCAGAGCCGTTTATAACATTCACAGCTGCTGCTTGGTCTTCGGTCATAACCTCAGAGCTGTGACCTCGGCCTCCGCTCAGGAGAGGGTTTCCGCGTTCAGGGGACCGGTGTGGGGATTTCACTCTCAGAAACCACCCGCTCTCGTTCAGTGCAGCCCTGGGACGTCTCGGGTGGTGGGGACAGCGGGTTGTTGCCGTGGTGACTGGCATTGCTTTTTCTTGCGTATTTTCTAACCGATGTGTGTGTAGAAATGCAGCTCATTATTTCAAATGCACCCATTGATGTTAGTTGCCTCGGTGGCTTTTGTCGATACACAGCGGGAGCATCAGCTGTGAGCCGCGGGCCCTTCCTTTCTGAGGTGTTCCTCTGTGTCCCTGTGAGTCCTCTGGCATTTGCCCCAAATCTTAAAACGTCCTAATGGCGCTACGTCAGTTATTCTCATTCTGCTTCTGATTTCCAAGTGCATCTCTCTAGTGTTTCGCCACTAATTATTATATTAATACCAGCTCTTATTCTAGGGTCCCCCCAGCCTGCTCAAAAATTACTTCTGCGTTCCCTTCGTTAAATTCCGTCTTCGGAGGTGGTAGTGAATTTTCTGAAATGCCTTTTTTGTCTTTTAAAAATGACGGTGTGCGTTTTCTCAAGCTGTTGATGGGGTGGATTCTATTATTAGCTGCTCTCCTATTGAACAGCCCTTAGCTTCCTCTGATAAGCCCTCAATGAGGCATTATTCTATCACATTGCTGGATCCTGTCACCAGCTGAGCGTTTATTTCTCTCTATTGGGACTTGAGAATTGAGGATAGTTTGGAAATGAACTGTAGGTGGCTTTGAATCAGTTTCTAACAGAATTACTTTCCTATTCGAAAATAGAATTTGTCTATGAGGCTTGGATCCAGGTACTGAACAGGGGAGGGGATTATTTTAATAGTTATGTTAAGGTCAATTCTAGTTTTAGTTAAATTTTCTTTTCATTGATGTTTTTAGAGAGAGTGGAAGGGAGGGAGGGAGGAAGAGAGAGAAACATGGATGTTAGGAAGACACGTTGATTGATTGCCTCCCACATGCACCCCAACCGGGCTGGGAATCGAGCCTGGGACTGAGGTACACGCCCTTGACTGGAAACTGAACCCGTGACCCTTTGGTGCCTGGGCCAGCACTCTAACCACTGAACCACAGCAGAGTAATTTTTTTTAAACTTTTTATGTCCATTTTAGTATAGTTTTGAATAAAACTGTCACAGACATGATCTGTTTTATGGGAAACTAGAGGCCTGGTGCACGAATTCGTGCATGGGTGGATCCAGCTGGCTGGCCCCAATCGGGGCAGTCAGGCCGGGCCGGCTGGGGAAAGGGGCCATGGGCAGTTGGCCAGCCGGCCCTGCCTCCTGGTCGAACTCCCGGTTGAAGGGACAATTTTCATGTTAGCCTTTTATTATATAGGATTATGCGTTGTATGTTCTTAGGATTTTTTTTTAATCTAAAACATTGACACAAACCAGGCACTTAATGCAGATTAAGTTGAATAAAACATCTGATATAGCTCAGTTCTTGTTTCCATTTTTGTCCTATTTTGCTACATTTTAAAAACTTACATTTGACGAGTTTTGCTCATTTTCATTAGTCATTTCAATAACCAGCCCCTGACACATTTATTTAAATTTCACAATGTTTTCTGCCGTATTTTCAGTTTTTATCATCATTTTTTTCTTTCTCCCCTTTCCTTAGATTTGTTGTTGCTATTCTTTTTTACATGTGAACTACAACGCTTAAACTTTTTATACTAAAGTTTGAATTTCAACATTTACCCTTGAATGATATTTTCACTGCAACCATAGATTTTAATGTTATTCTCTAACAGGCTAATAATGGCAGATTTTGTTATCAAAGAAAACATGATAATTTCAAGAGAGACATCAAAAGTGCTTTATTCAAAGTAATGTCCATTGCTAGCTACACATTTCCCCATCTTTCAGGTAATTTGTGGATACCGTCCCAATAGAACTTTTCTTGTTTTGAGGCAAACCATTCAGAGACCCAATTTTCCACTTCTTCGTACGTTTTGAAGTGCTGCTCAAAGTGCGTGTGCCATCGATCGGAACAAGTGGTCATCTGAAGGAGCAAGGTCTGGTGAATACAGCTTGTGGGTTAATACTTCCCAGGCAAAATCTTTTAATGTGTCTTGAACTGTTTTGAAGTGTGTGATGGTGCGTTATCATGAAGCAAAATTACTTTGCCATTTCTTCTGGAACATTCTGGTTGTTTCACGATCAGAGCGTGGTTCAAATTGATTATTTGTTGTTGGTAGCGATCAATATTAATGGTTTCACCTGGTTTTAGAAGCTCATAATACACCACATCTTCCTGATCCTACCAAACGCAGAGCATTGTCTTCTTTCCGAAGCGATTTGGCCTTGCAGTCGATGTTGATGGTTGACCTGGATCAACCCTTGATTTTGTGCGTTTGGGGTTCTCAAAATAAATCCACTTTTCATCGCCAGTCACAATTCGATGCAAAAAAGACTTCCTTTCGTGCCACTGAAGCAACATTTTACTGATGACTTTTCGGTTTTCCATTTGTCTTTCTTTCAGTTGATGTGGCACCCATTTTCCTTCCTTTAAAATCTTTCCCATTGCATGTAAACGATCAGAAATTGTTTGCTGAGCAATGTTTAATCTTTCTGCAAGTTGTTTTTGAGTTTGACACACATCTTCATCCAATAATGCTTGTAATTGTTGGTCTTCAAACTTTTTCGGTTGACCTGGACGTTCTTTGTCTTTCACATTGAAATCATCACTTTTAAAGCGTTTAAACCAGCATTCACAAGTATCTTGAGATGGAGCATCTTCACCATATGCTTCCTGAAGTATACGATAATTTTCAGCAGCACTTTTCTTCAAATTAAAGTAATGAATTAAACTTCCCACAAATGCTCTTTTTTTGGCATAGAATTCGACATTTTTAAGTGTAAAAATATCTATGATGTTAACACTTCAGAAAATCGGACATATGAAGTTTTGAAGCTTGTTGTCAATACAACAAAATAGCATACATATCAAATCATATATATATCAACATATGTGTAACTCCATCTAGTGAAAAAAATCCGCATTATTAACCGGTATACCTAGTGCATGGTGTTTAGATGCCCCTACCAGGGGTCAAACCGCAGCCTAGGAGTGTGTCCTGACCGAGA